AATATATAATTTATGTAAAATCGTATTCAATTCGTGCTCAATTGTAAATTTATACATTTTCCAAGTTAATTTTCGATTTTGCTAACAAGCCACTGAAATTATACGTGCCCAACTGCTTGGGGAATCTCTCAGCAGCAGCAGAAGCAGCAGCAGCTGAATAACATGTGACTGTTCATAGGAAAACAAAGAGATTCCTACGTCAGAGCTTTTGGGGCACTGACAATCGTCGAGCGGAACGAATGCCGCTGGTAAGCGGAGAACTTTTGAAAAGGTTTTCACTGTGGAGCGCGCTGCCTGCCTCCCCAACCCACTTGGGATGTTAATTAAGTCCGCTCCACAAACAAACCAATTGAATAACATTGTTCTACCCGCTGTATGCATAGAGTAAACGTTCATCAATTGCGATCGACTGAGAGTCGTTAAACTGGCTAGAGATTGGAGAGGGGCGTGGCAAAATCAGAACCCAAAATGTGCCCCGATGGGGAAAGTTTCTTGTTGCGTTGCTCTCTCTTTCTAGTGCCCTTTCCCTTTCCCTCTCTATCTTGGTATCGATCTATATATATCTGTCTGTCTCTCTCTCTCTCTCTCTCTCTCTCTCTCTCTTTGATCTCTGCATAGAGCTTGACTTTTCCATTGAAAGCAAGAATGAAAGCAAACAAGCCTCAATGAAGGCAGAGAGTGGAACGAACTTGCCGTCCGTCCATTCGTCCGTACGTTCGTCCGTCCTTCAATATTGATTCGCTTCTAAGCAGATTTAGCTGGATTAATGTAAATTGAAAGAAAACGTCACAAAGAAGAAGCAGAACAAATTATTCTCATAAGCAAAAACTTTTTTGAGCGCGTTCAATTTTACATTAGGCAGGCAGAAAATACCCGCTGAGTGGCTTTTCCTGTAAATAATTTCAATTAAAGTCGCATTAAATGCGAATAAATTTCAATCTGTCGCAAGCATATCCACATACATATATAAATATAGCTATATATTATATATATATATAAATATTATGATATATTTTGTGTCTTTGCTGAGCGGGCGATCGGCCAAAAAGCAAAGCAAAGAATTTTGTTTTGTTGTTCTTTGCTGAGACATTCCTCACTTTTGTGGCATAGCAAAGCAAAATATGAATATCCGTTTATATAGAATAGCAAACTACATACATATCTATATTATTTAGCAGATATGTAAACAGCCGTTGGGCTCATGCACATTTATCATGACAAATGAAAACACGAGGTGTAAAAGCTGAACATTGTTTTCTGCATCAGCTAAAAATTTGTGTGCATAATAAACAACAAACTGTATTATTTATAGAGCTTTAGATTAAGGGAAACCAAAAGATAGCTGCAAGAAAAAACGTTGATATTTATACAAGAAACTAAAAGATAATTCAAATAATAAATTTTGATAAGTATATTAATTATACAGCTGCTTTAAGGGATTTTTAATTCTGCTTAAAATACTACAGAAATATTTGGATATGTTTGAGGCAGAAATGCCATAAATTAAATATATGATTTATATGATTTATAACATGGAATATTTATAGGTAATATTTATACTTTCATTCACTTAATTTATATCATATATTTAGTATTTCTTCTCAAATATCATATCATAATCATATACAAGCATTTTTATTGATTAATGAATGATTGCAATCGAGCAAAGCCTGCATCTAATATAGACATATCTAGGACTGGCTTACTAAAATTATAGTTGACTTCCCGCTCCAATTTATCGCTTGACTAATGATACTATTGAAGTCAATATATATTTTATGAACTGTTCGCACACACAACATGATAAATGTCTTTATTTCATGATAAATGTTCTTGGTACACCAACAAAATTATTTCTCTGCTATTCTCTCTACTTTTATCTATTATACGATTTGATTACAAATTTCAGACATTTTTTGACGCCTATCCATATCCGATAAAAATCATTTACTCAAGTGAGCCCCAAACAACTTTAGTCATATAAACAATTGTTGCAACAAATGTTTAAAAATATATTTCAACAATTAGCTGCAAGCATTTGGGGCCGCCGGCCCACAGAATTTCGTTTTATTTGTTCATTGGTCTCTAGACGTTTTTTTCTGTGTCTTATTTATTTATAGCCAAAATGTTTCGAAACCATGAATTATTGTTGCTTGAACTACGTCAACCTGTCATAGATATAGAATAGATTGTGTATGAATCGTTCCAAGTTCTGTTTCAATATTTGCATAAAAAAAATTGTTGCTAATGAAATTGTAAAAGCGAAGCACGCCTCGAAGCTTTTAGCGTGCCATAAAAGTCTTTGCTAATTTTTGATAGCAATTATATGGGAATATGTATATTAACATAAATCTTTATTTAAGTATACACATTTATTTTATATTCCTAGCTGACTCGACTTCCGACAAATTATGGAAACAATTTGTTTGAGATTATATTTTTTGTCAATAAATTTCGACTTCTATAACAAACTGCCGTCTACACCCAGACGAAAATGCTCGTCTTAGAGTTACCCTAGGTGCACTCTACTAAGACTGACTAGAGTCAAATAGAGGTCCTACTTCATCCCTGAATCGGAAATATATTTAAAGAATATTTATTTTAAACTTCTTCCTGTCCCATTAAACAGAAGTATACCCCATTGGGCATTCTCAATGACAGGGTATAAAAATATAACAGGCACAAATCACATCAATTAAAGCATAGCTTCCTGCTTGTTATACAGCATAAATCTATTATTAAGTATGAAATATAAATATACTTATAAATGCCTATAGCTTGCCTTTGCCTTCGCCTTGTCTTCGATATCGAATTATGTTTTTTTTTTTTTTTTTTTTTTTTCGGGAATTAAATTTCACTTGAGATTTGTTTGTTTGTTTGTTTTTTTTTTTATGGATTGCTCGAGTTTTGGTCCCCATTGACCCAATTTTAATGCAATTTAAGCCCTCGTTTGTGCGCAAGTAAATGAATCGTAAGAATCCGGAACACTTCGCTGGCGTTGCCCCCGCTGCAGCCCCTCGCTCGCGCTCTCGCTCTGCCCTTCAACCTGGCAACCTTTGGCAAATGTGGACGCGTTTAATTGCACGCTTACACGCAATTTCCTCGGCGTCAACAACATCGTCATCATCATCATCATCATTACCTTAAACATCATTGGCAACTTGATCATCGGTCGTTCGCCCGCCTGTGGAAGTTTACTTAATTGCTCAACCGGCGAGACGTTTACTTTGTTTCTTGTTTGTTTATTTATTTATCTATATAGGCGCAGGCAAAATAAGTTGGAAATTAGAGACCGCTGCACACACACACACACACACCTGTCCAGACACCTGATTTCTGGCCACAATTTCTAAATAATTATGTTTGCCCATAACCAATATGGAAATTACAAGAAAAGGGCGGAAAGAAAACTCGATGCAGGCCAAATTGCAAGCAGCTGTTGCCGGGCAACGCCGGATTAGAATATTCGCAATGCAAACGAGAGAAATCGAAATTAAATGAAATGTTAACAATACACAATTACAATTATAAACGATAATTGCATCAGAATTTCGTTTGGACAGCTGCAAAAGCAATAAAGTGAATGCGCAACTGTAAATCGAATGCAGTGGCACTCAAACTGTGCAGCAGCAGTAGTTGTGAAATGCATAGAGTATTCGATTTATCATTGAATTTTGTATAAGGTCAGCTAAATTTAGGTATTCTGCAAAGGGCAGGTCAGTCTCTGTCAAACTGTGCGGTATGAGGAAACTGCTGCAATTGCCTGCTCTGTAGCGGCAATGATTGTAAAACTGTAAATGTAGGGGGGCCTGCCACAATTACGAATTCTGTGTGTGGTTAATTCAGAGGCAGTGGATTGAAAACTATAAATATGAGCAAGGTTAAGTGGATGTTGGATATTCTGCATTAAGTAACTCAAAGGCAGTGGCTTTAAAACTGTGGCAAAAGGTCAAAGGCATTTCAACTGTATTTTATAGTTACGAATTATTGATGTATTGCTTTGTAAAGTCAATGCAGTGACTTTCAAACTATGGAACAGCATAGTTGAGAGTGCCCATTGAATGTGAACTTAATTTCATTGAATAAAATGTAATATAAATTAGACGTAAGTCGGCTTTAAAGACTTTAAAATTGTGGACAGTGACTGTAGAACTATGAGGCTGTAGCTGTAGAATAGGTTGATATTATTGGATTAGCTTCGAATATACTGCATATGCAGCTGTCATTAATCAAATGGAATCCAATGACTCTACAACTGCAAATAAGCACTCAAACTACAATTGATGTGATGAGATGTGATTAAATTTTAAATCAATTTCAACATCTGTAAGTGAAACTATACAACTATCATTCCATAATCATATAGCCCCTGCTTCCCTAGCTTACATCTCTTGTCGCCCAATTTAATTGCGTTAATTGAAATCGCCTTGGCTTGGAGGCCTTTGGGCCTCACACCTAATAATATTGTTCACTTTGTAGTCAAGTTTGACAGTCCGAAAGACTAATTGAAAATTTGGATATTTGATTTCTAAATCAGAAATATAATAAAATATTTATTTGGTGCCAGATAAAAAAAAATGTAATTCGATTAATTAATAAAGGGCTTAAACAGAAATTAGTTTGATGACGTGTGTAGCCCTAGAAAGACGCGACGCTGAGTGTGCGATGAGTATGTCCATAACTAAAAGGGTATCTACTAGTCGATATGTAGAGCGAGAGACTTGCACTTAAAAATGACAGCAAAACGCTTGTAAGGGAGGACAATTAACTTAATTTGTTGTACTTCAAGCAAACACACAAATCACGCAATGCTGGGCACTCGGTTCGGGTCTGTGGGGAATCATGCGTCATATTTAATGATAAGAGCTGCGATGTGTGCTAATCGAGTTGTGTTTACAACTCGAGCAAGCGTGCTTGATGCTTAAGCACATGCAATTGCATTTAGTTGCATATTAAAAACTAAACTAACTCCCTCTCTCTCTTTCTCTCTCTCTCTGCAGATCATCATGTGCACTTTGATGCGACGACCCTAAAGACTGACGACTTCGGCTCCGATAGCTGTGTGACGTATCAGCGATCGGGCGATACGATTGTCGTGAGCCTGGGGTTTCTGCAGATCAATCATCGATATCTGATCGATCTCAATTTGCCAGTGACGCTGTTTGAGAACACGGGAGCACCGGGCACCAAGTTCGTGCCGGTTGTGAGCGCCACACCGAATCTGCACTGCAAGATCACCGAATTTACGGGCACCAAGCACGACGAGCACGATTTCTATGAGATGAAGATCGAGTTCTTTGCCTACAAGGAGAAGCTGCTGCGCGAAGTCCTGCACATTGTCAACTCGAACAATGCCAAGGAGGTGCTGCAGCTGGTGATTGCGGCGCGTGTACTGGGCAAGGGCAAGGGCACGCCCATGCTGCGAACGGGCATCCATTGCATAGGCGTCGAGCGGGACGACGATGACTCAGAATCGTCCGATTTTGCGGGCTTCGATAAGCCCTAAGCCAATTGATCCCACACTAAACTGGCTTTTAGTTTCTGGTTTCTTAGTTATGTGCAGTTATTTGCATAGTATTTAAGTCGACAACAAAATATATAGAAAACATAATCATAATAATGTTAATTTATAAACCATGTACGCGCATGTTTCGTGTAAACAATTGCAATTGCAATTGCAACTGCAATTGTTGTTTCCAAAAATTGTATTCCCCCCCTTTCTTGTCCAAATATTTGTCAACATATCTGTGCATTAATCTCCCAATATTGATTGACACAACATGTTTATGCAACGAATTGTCAATTGCAGTCGTTCTGACAGCTTGTTCGCTGTCCTTTGTATTAGAATTTACACTTGCCTCTGACATGCTATGTACTTATAGAATATCTGAATTGGACAAATGTCTGAAATGCATACCAAATGCAACAAATTAACATATTTGCTCGATAGTCGCAGCTAAAATGTGCAACAAATGTAACGCATTAAGCGAATTCTAATTGAAGTTATGGAAACTGTTTTCCCTTACAATATTCTAATGATATATTTTAACTCTTTACATCTGTGAAGGAAAGCTCTTTGAAATTCTAAACTCTATGCGTTCATTGTCTATGTTTTAAGAGCTCGAACTACTTACACACATATTTGTATATTGTACATTCAAAGTATTTTTGCATTTCTGTTGAAAATTGTTATAAAAACAAATATATAAAGAATAAAATTTATATTAAAATATATCTATATATATACACATATATAAGAGTAATACGTGCACCTCCTAACTCAACTGAATGACCAAAATTGCAAGCCTTTATTTTGATAACATTTAATATAGTATTTAAAAATGTGTATAGAACTAATGCTCAGATCAAAGAATACTTTAACAGTACGTTAACAGTAGTCGTATAATGCTAATTGAATACTTAACAGTTGTTTAACATTGTTCTTCTCAAAATCAATTTTAAGGTGCTCTACTTTTATATGTATTGTAAATGTTTATAACTCAATCAATCAATCAATGGAGCATTTGTTTAACAAAAAAATTAATAAATAAAGAAAGTTATGAAAAGCAATTTTTTTTCAAAAAAAAAAAAAAAAGAAGATATTATGTACACGCATGTATTTAAAAAATTAATTAAATTGATGGTAAAGTGAATAATATAGCTATTTATATATATACCATAATAAATCGAAAAGTCAAACCAAGCAAGCTGAGTTTTCTAACTTTAACTTCTAACTGACGATTGTACAATCATTTTAAAATTCTAGTTTATAATTGAAGTAACAGACACAATAACAGATTCGAGTTCCTGAATACTTAAACATACATATAAATCACATATCAATTGTTATATGATGGAACGTAAGCGCAAAGTGAACCTTAAACAAAAGGCTCTCGGGGTGGATAAGCGCATCAAGCTGGATGGGAGTGAGGAGCAGGTGAATCTACTGGACCTGCCCGTTGGCCCATTGCATATGATCATCTCGAAGGTGCATCCGGAGAAGCAGATGATCCTGCGCAACGCATCCAGCAAACTGAGGGTGGAGCACTCCGACTGCATGTTGCACAGCTACAAATCGTTCACCAATTTGCATCTGCGCCAACAGCATCTCTGCGCCGAGCAGCAGAGAATACACAACGTGATGCAGGTGAGTGCCTGGAGCCTTGATCAGGAGTTGAGCTAATTATGGTCCTATGCTTCCACAGGTGGTGGCCCACTCGACGGACTTTTTCATCAGCTCCGGCTACAATGGCGTACTTGCGGGCAATCTGATCTTCTTCTACAAGCATTTGACAACTGGCGTGCAGAGCATCGATGCCGCACACATGCACAAGTTTCTGCACGAGTTCTACAGCAATCTGGAGGGGACTGTGCCCCAGTGGCCCAACGAGGCTGCAGCGCGCATCGCATTCAATCAGCGTCGTTTGATATACACGATGACTCTGCTGAATCTACTCAGAGTGGGTCAAGTCTCTCTACTCTCTCTGATCTTATTTGACATGTAATTTCTACTCTCTCAGCAATTTCGCAATTTTCGCATCGTTAGCTCTGGCATGAATCTAATGCACTGGCAACTGCAACTGGAGGTGCTGGGCCTGCATTTTGGCGTACGTGAGATGGATGGGCAGACGCCCGAGCAGGACAAACTGGTGGACTTTTTGACGATTATAGCCGAAATGCTTGTGTTTGACAAGTCGCGCACCTACGAAAGGTAACAGCACAGATCTAATGCCACGTTGAATTCACTGCATCAAATTCGTCTATGCTCCACAGCCGCTACACAGCAATTGGCAACAGTTTCTATATCTATGGCATCAAGCAGCACACAAGGTTGTCCAGGCAGAGCCAGAAGCTGACGCTCAATCTGAGCATCCTGGCGCCGTTGGTGGTGCGCGTCCTGCTCGAGAATGTGCTCAATGGCCAGGTGGATATTGCACGGCCTATCCACTGTCCAGTCGTCGACACGTTCAGCATTCAATTGGATGTGAAGGGCCGAAAGATCCCCATGTGGGATGGCAGCAATCACATGGAGATCTGCATCGTTCCACTTCACTAGCTCAACGATAATGCATATGCACATATATATGACAGACTATCATGTTAGATGTGTACAAACATATATTAGTTTGTGTATTTCTTGTGAATAAACTCGATTGGAAGAGCTCAAACAAAGAGCACATCACATGGCAACCACAAGAAGATTATCTTCGGAGAATTCATAATTTTCCTATTTTGTTTTATATGTGCAGCATCTATAATTAAAAAAAAAAAAAAATAGCATAGGTTATGCTAGCTTTGCTAGGAACTATGTAATACTGTTCTTAAACACATATTCGAGAGATAACGTCGCATACATTTTAACAAGACTTGATTATTAAATATCAGAACCTTTTTTCAAAAGGTCAATATGAAACCCTGAAATCATTTGAATGGGGCTTCTGAATATGTATGCAACAGACAGAAGAAGGCGTGGCAGACCCTATACAGTATATACACATTTTCGCGCTGAAGACTAAGCTTAATCCATTGTCCGTCCGTCTGTTTGTCCATATGAACGCTGCGATCTCATAGACCACAAAGGCTAGTGACTTGCCGTAGAAGGTTATCAATTTTCTGCATAACTCATTGCATTAACTTATTATCCGAAATGCAGTCCAAGTTCAGTCGCTGCGTCATCAACGCTGTCGTCAGTATTATGTAGAATATATAGCATAAAATAAATACATAATATATAAGTCGGGGCGTTGCGTTTCTCGTTCATGTTTTCCATCTTAGGTGCGCCTACCAACGAATTCCCGGTGTGTCGCTAAACTCTTTTAAATGGTCTTACTCGTTCAATAGTCTTTGACCAAGTGTGATTTCTCCTCTACTCACGAAACTTCTAATAATGGTCGCATATTCTTCTTCATCGAAAGCCCAGCGACCCTGCTGCGAACGACATAACTAGCCATCTCGCTCTCACCCAGCGACACCCGGGACCACAGCTATTCAGCAACAGCTATTGTTGTCTCTCTCTTTTAGTGACAGTGCATGCTTTAATTGCACTGCAATACTAAATCAATCGATTAACACGATATCAAGATATCAAATTGCAAATTCAACAACAGTCTAATATCGCACTGATACGACATATATGTATGTATGTTTGTTATGACAAACGTAAAATGAATGTCAGTTGCTTTTATCGAGTTTAGGGTATCTGCTAGTCGACTGAAGCGCTCTTCTTTGTTTAAGCAAGTGCAACGCACTCAGGCACCGAGCCGCTGCACAGTAGGCTCTGCCGGCAATGCGTGGCTATTTCGGTAAACAGTAAATAGTTGAAATAAAATCATTTACATATATATTTCAGTTTTTCATACAAATGAAGGAATTTTTTCTATAAAATCACATTTTTCATTTTTGAGGTAAAGCTGGGATGCCATCTGTTAGCCCATCACCTTGTAATTAGATTCATTTTAAAGCTCAAAGAATTCACTGACGAATACATGATATTCGCAACGCAAAATGAGCAAATGTCCCACTGTGCGCTGCTGCTGCAGGCTGCGCGAAAGCAGCGACCGCTAGCTAGCGGCTCAGTCGCACAGAAATTTCGTGATCGATTGGAACGATCTTAAAGGCAGTGGAAATAGAGCTGGATAATAAAACAATGTGTGGAAGACAAATAAAAACACTAGTTATCGGTTTCAATATTTTGGTTGTCGCATTTGTGGCCGGTGCCTTGATTTGGGTTAGTTGAGACGAGTGTGGAGTGTGAAGTGTGCCAAATGGCGAGAGTTAAGTGAAAGAATTGTTCTCTTTTCGCAGGCCTATATGCATGATGGCGAAGTGCGTAGGGATGACCTTGCCACGGACACCCTCACGATCAACGATGGCTCATCCCCCGCTCGGCGGTTCGAAACTTAAGCCTTATAATTAAATAAATGCTCAGGTCAAGCCAATTGTGTCGCATTTCTTTTACAAATGTCGGTTACAGGGAAATAAGTCTGGCTATGGCAGCTACAGATCGTATATTTCATTTTAACTGTGTATTTGAAGTGCAGTCAATAGCCAATGCAGTCAATGCAAAATCGGTTGCTGTCTCGCTTGTGATGCACGTGCGACAATTAAAGCAATTACAGTTATGCGCGTATATTTTTGATCAATCAATGAACAACACTGCACAACAAAAATTAAGTAACTTGAGCACTTTGAAACTGAAGTGATTCACATACTGACACCCACAGCATTGCATTTAATGCTTGCTAAAAATAAATTTGTGACATTTATCAGGGTGAAGCGAGCGATAGAGCTGATTCCAGGAACAAACGCAGTGAAGTGAAATCATTAACAGATCACAGTCGAGTCGTCATTAAGGGCGATCAAGCAAAGGTGTGGGTTTTATATTATCTAGATAAGATATGAATTGGACAGTTGACGGAAAAGTCTCAGCACCTTGAATTAGCTCAGCTTTTCTTTTAAAAAATAAGCAAGAGTGCGACAGCTGGGGAATTATTGATAATAAATAACACTGAGCCGTAACTTTAAGGAGAATGCGGGGAAGCATACAAAGTGGTATGAGCAGAGAGTTCGATAAGAAACTGATGGCATCTAGCCTAAATTATATCTCATTTTTGGCTGAGCAACAAGTCGAGTCTGATCGACTAGGCGATAAGAAATGGGATGAGCTATCGGACAAAAATTATACGGCCAACCAGTTGCACCTCGTCGTATTGAGTCAGCTCATCGAATATATACACTTGATGGGATCTACCACAGCTCTTTCTGCCTATTCAACAGAAATTCTTTCGAAATGAGTTAATCGAATCGAAATCGCAAATTATGAATTTGTTTTGCGTTTGGTATACATTTTAGAGACATTTTGGTTTGTTAAACTTCAGTTGACTGCGAACAGAGAGACATGACTGATCTGCCACGCCCCTTGGTGCCTGCTTGTTTGCTCAGTGCTCAGCTGCCAAGATAACGAGAGCGGGTGGCCTTGCATTGGACTTTTATGGTTTGGTGTCGGCGCTTTAAATGCTAATTAAACGGCGTCAAGTCGGCTGTCGAGTCGAGTCCAGTCGAGTTGGATCGGGTCGAGTCGTGCTTGCTTTTTGTGTCCGTGCAACAATGAGCGCAATAACAGCTATTAATAAATATGCTCAATCAATGCGCTGACCTGCAACAGCAACAACAACAACAACAACAACAACAGCTCGACGCGTGAAAATATTTGCTTAATTAAAGTAATTATGGTTTCATATATCATTCGTGCAGCAGTGCGGCCAACAGACGCTGGACCAGGTCCATTCGTAATTACCTTTTGCAATAAATTATGCATTTATTATACCATTGAAAAATGATTTAACGGGCAGAGGGCGGCCAGAGGCGGCATGTCGGCGCATTAAGTATATGGTATATATGTATATGTCGTGTATATATATTTGCATATATATAATATAATTGCTCAGCATCAACGGTTGAGTGGATCTACTGACTGTCTGTCGTCTGTCGTTTGTCTGTCTGTTACAGCGCCTGCGGCACAGCACCCTCGACTGCTGTACGTGCTTGACCTGCAAAGAGCTCTCATATATACATATGTATATATCATTTGAAAAACACAATGATTGCATGAATGAATGAATTTCATCACCTTCGATTACATCTGGAATTATTTTAAGTTATATTGCTTTGGTTTGATCTTGAATTGATGTGGCTTTAAGAACTAGTTCAAAACTCTACTAATGATCAGCCTTTTAAGATTTCATTGTAGTAAAGTAAGATAGTCTAGTCTTAACTTAGAGACGTCTGATATGCCTTTATAGATATATCATTATAATACATATATTTATGTATATACCTATAAAAAATATGTGAAGAGGATTATAGAGATTATAGTTAATATATAAATTTTTGTGTAGGTACATACATACCTATATCTACATATAAAATGTTACTGTGGCAAGGCAGGGTATTTGCTAGTCAGCTAGATACCAACATCTATTAAAATGTTACTAAGCGTGTGTCAATCACAAACATACAAACGCGCACACACACACACACTTACACACACACACACTTACACACACACACCTACACACACACACCCCTTCAGAATTAAAGCATTCTTTCGTTTTTGGCATTTGTATTTCTATTTGAATATTTGTTTTGGCTGCAAACTAGTCTGGTCCAAGCTGGAACGAAATGAGCAGAATACAAATAATAATAAAAATAGACAATAAAAAAAAAAAAATAAAAATAAATAAAATAAAGGGACATAAGCGACAACAACAACGATTACAAATGTGACAAGAGAATCCAACACCGAAATGAATAATGTAAATACGCCAAGTGTACAAAGTTTTAATTGTTATCATGTTTTGTCTGAGCGCTGTTTCCTCATGTGTGCGACAGTATGTGCGTGTGTGTGTGTGCGAGTGTGTGCGTGTGTTTGTGGCATGCACTTATAGCCAAGATGTATCCATTTACGCCTGGCTAAGTTTTACGTTGCGTATACGCCACATGCCCCATTCAGCTCGAAGCGTGTCTCTGTGACTATTGTGTGTATATGTGTGTGTGTGTGCAACTGTGGTGTACTTTTGTGTATGCATGCTATGGATTTGGTCGGAGCAAAAGTTTTTTCATTTTGCATATGTATGTACATATATGCTGTGCCTTAAAGCTGCACTTTTCCTTTCCCTTTGCACCCCAAATTTAAGTCCGAAGAGAGCAGCAAAATAAACTTATTCACTGCTATTTAAATAAAGGAACTGAACTATTGTTCACATAAAATATATATTCGTATATTTTTGGGTGTTTTAACTATCATATGTTTGTCTTTGAAAGTGCAATAATAGCTCTGCTGTTGTAATGCTCAGGCATTGGCATGAGTAAGGAAAGGATTATAATAGACGAGGGCAGATTCTGGCAGCTATGTTTTTCAGCTTACAAGCTGCAATACTTCAAATGAAACAGAGTTAAACGATATTGAATTGATAAATAAAGGAATTGGAACTATCATTGTTAGTATAATTCTATAAATATATTAGAAATTGAGAGAGCGGAGAAAAACGAAGCAAACAATAATCGTTGATTGTTTCACGATGTCTGACTGTGACTCTGAGAGAAGAGTTAGAGAGTAACCAATCGATCGGTTCTTTAACGATCTCGTTTCACTAAGCATATCAATTGAGTTCGTGAATCGAGTGAGTGCATGTGTGTGTGAATGTGCAGATCGTTTGCTTAGACTCTTGAAAGTATTCGCTCATCTACTATGTTTCATTGAGCGAACGTTCATCGTTCCTCTCCCCAAACGACGTTCGTTCAAAGAAACGAACGAAAAGAAACGAAGTCTCCTGCTCAGAGCCAGAGCCAGAGCCAGAGACTGGGTATGATTTAAAAAAAGAAAAGTTAATTTGCAAAAAAAACAGACTAAATTAAAATATTTATAATACAATCCACAATATTGTTAAGCCTTTCTTAATTTGATCAAATAGTAAGGAAAAAAAAAAAAAACAATGCCCACATCTCGTTTGCTCTGCTTTATTTCCAGCTCAATGATTTTTAATAAATTTTCTGTCGTCTATTTTCATCTTGATAACTTGCTCAGCAATAGCTAACTTGTAAATCAAAAATTATTTGCCTTATTTAACAAATTTATCGCATATTTTAACAGTGAAAACTCTTTTCCAGCAGCTAAAATCCAATCAAATTTTTGCTCAGCAATAAAAACAAAATTCACAATAATTTTAAACAATTTAAGTTAAATGTTAAATTTTTCGTTATTTAATGCTTGGGGAAATGTAAATGGAAAACATCTCAATTTGCCTTTAAAAGCATAAAACTTGTGTGCAGTTGATTTGCATAGCCATAGCTAAACATATTTATTTTGATTTTCATTTTATTTTTTATGCCTTTGTATATGTTGCTGCTGTGTGTGTGTGTGTGCGTGTGTGTGTGTGTATAGAAGAAGTCAGCCTTAAGCACAGCTCTCAAGCATGCAAATCCAGAATATTTGTGGCTCACAGTATTTATTTGGCACAAATTTTAAGTGATTTATGCTCGCCTCAATTGCCTCACAGCTCCAGCCGCATAAACCACTGAAAAATACGTATACGCAGTGTGGCACAACAAGATACAGCACACGCACGCACACGCACACGCACACAGACACAGATACGCCTGGACACGCGCATTGCATATGGATATGCATATTTATTTGGCAGGACTTTACTTATGCTACATTTTATGGCAATGTTTGTTTGCCCAACTTCAGATGCAGACGCTCCAAGAACACGAAAACCCGCCCAGTACCGCCCAGTCCAGTCCGGTCCAGTTCGGCGCTATAGATTTGTTAGCCAGCATGTGTGTATGTATGTGTATGTGTATGTGTCTTTGCCTGATGTGTGTTTGGTGTTTGCTCACACTTATTTATTTGATAATAATTTCAAGATGCTCTCTCTATCTATGCTCCTCTCTCTCTCTCTCTCTCTCTCTCTCTCTCTCTTTCTCAGTGAAAAACAAACTAATTTCGTGCAAACTCTCTTTTGGCCAGCATAAATAATGAAAATGTCATAACACAACTCGAGCTGCGTATATCGTGCATATCATATCTTTGCTTGCAGCACACTGGAAGACGCTCGCATTGTGGCACAATGTTTATGCAAATGACATTTTGCTGTCCGCCGCACTGATTACGCATGCAGCCCCAGCCCCAGCCCCAGCCCTAGCCCTAGCCCCACATTTGTGCATCGAGTGCAATATAAATATTTTACATAGATTTTACATAGCTGATTGAAGTCGTGCGCATATGCTAAGCCCGCAGCTACAGCTGGGCCGGGTCTAGGTCTTGGTTCGGGTCTTGGTTCTGCCTTCAAATTATCCAAGCAACGGAATCAAATCAAATCAATTGCAGAGTGCGCCCCAAACTATGCAACGGCTGCCTGCATTTGCATATGTTTCG